TGTGTTGGCTCTTTTTGTTCCAGCAATGAGGAAAGTGACTAAAACAGACAAAATAGCACTCTGAAATTCCAGCACTTCAAGGCAGAGACAGAAAGATCACCAAATTTGGGGCCAGTCTTGACTATGAGACTGTCTCAAAACAAAACAGCTAAAGGATTCTATATGTCAAAAACAGTGTTATAGGGGCCTGGAATATAGTTCAGCAGCATTAGCACCTGCCTGCCAAATGCAAGGTGCTGAGTTCAATCCCCAGTAAACCCCCCTCCAAAAAAAAGAAAAAAGAATTTTTCCTGCAAATTTAAAAGCAAACTGGTGCTAGTCTTTGCTTATTGTCTACAGCAAGTTCAAAACTAACTGAAAGAGAAAGGAGAAACAGAGCCCAGAGGCAGCGCAGCGAGAACCCTGCTAAGCTGAAATGCAGCCAGAAGAAGCACTGGCTAACTCAAGCAGATCTACCTTGGACTCACACAGTAAGGGCACATTCCAGCTAGGCATGGTGACACAGACCTGCAATCCCAGGTCTGGGAGGCTGAGGCAATCTGAATCCAGCCTAGGCCAGCATACACAAATCAGCTGCAAGAGATCCTGTCTAAAAATAAAAAAAGGGCTGGAGATGTAGCTTGGTGCAAATGTCATGGGTTCAATCCCTAGTACCACAAAAAATAAAATTCAACTGTTTTTCCTCCTGATGATCCCTAAGGGTTCCTCCCCTTAACAAGGTTACTTTATCAAACAGTAAAGCATAAAAACAAAATCTGAAGATGGAGGTCAAAACACAGCACCTACAATAATAGCAAAAACCCAATTCCAGGAATACTTGACTGGCAGAGTGGGTGTGCACAGCCCAGGTGACTGCCACCACTCCTGCCTCAGACACTATAATCTTAGAAGGAAATGTTCTCACTGGGATCTACAGGCTCACAATATAAATGGCCAGAATGGAAAATAAGCTCTGCTCCCTCTGGATGGGGCCTTGACCCCTAAAACAACAATACAACTCCAGCTGTTTACTCCTGTATTCAAAGTGGAACATTCTCTGGCCAGCAACAAGCAGGCCTCTTCTGATCTTGAGACAAATGGACCAACCAGAAAGAAACTACAGCACCTTGATCAAAGAATGACAAGTGTTCTGGATTAGAAATAACTGCTGTTAGCTCACTGACATTAGTCTCCAAATGCCTAACTTAGGTTTAAATGAAGTTGGTGGCAAAGGGTCCTTTACATAAAGCATTTAATATATCACAAAAATGAGTGCAGTGCTGACCAGAACCCAGCAACTGACCAGGCAAGACTGGATGAAGCCCGCTCCAAGGAATAATACTGATGCTTTGCATTCACCAAAGTCATCCAGGACCCTGCAGCTGACAACGGAAGCACTCACACAACAACCCCTTCCTAAGGCTACAACTAATAGGACCTCGTGCTGGCTGGAAAGCAGGCCAAGCCTTCATCTCTACTGGCTAATAGCAGCCTTGCTATAACTGCCACAGACATCACACCAATACAATTAGGCTCCTTTCTTGCTCTAGTCTGTTGATATACTAATATATATATATATATATATATATATATATATATATATATGAAATTTAAGTTATATTTATTAAATATACACACATATATTCATGTAGCAAGTTCTTGGGCTTCTATAATTTCTATTCTAGAATGCTCTATTTTTTTTTTTTTCCAAATGCAATGGTATGGTGTTGTGTACCACTCACTGCATCTGCAATGTTTTTTGAGGCCAAATCAGACTGCCTGCAAGTTAATCCATCCTTCTACATTAAATACAGCATCCCTCCTCCCTTTAAAGAAAACCACACAGTTCTTAAGGGTGAAAGTTTTACAAGGTGAGGATCCTTTCACACCCCTTCTCTTTCTCAGGGGCTATTCCTATTCCCTATTTCTTTTCCTCATTCCTCTTCCTAGTTCTTATTCCTTTTCCCCAATAAATTTTCCTACTCTTAAAAAATTATGATTAAAATCTATAGATTGGTGAATGACAGATACCCATCCTTGTGTTTTAGCTCTCAATAAAATTCTGTTACTAGGGCCAGCCAGATAGTTCAGCAGACGAGGGCGCCTGCTTAGGCAGATGCAGGGACCAGGGTTGGATTCCTGGCATGCCACACACTGAGACGACTGATTAAGATTGGGCATGGTTGCCCGCATGCCTGTAATCCCAGCACTTGGGAGGCTGAAAACAGGAGGATCACTATGAGTCTGATCTGTGTAGTGAGATCCTCTACTAAATATTAAAATAAATATATATTTATTACTAAGTTACTAATGAACCAGAGTCTCAAGAAATGAAACACCAAGTTTGTCAAACTATGATCAAATGAACCATACTTGGGGTACAACAAGATGGGAATAGAGAAGCTGGAAAAGGTATAATGAAGAGCATTGTGTAACTTTAAAAAAAAGACAGCCAGGCATAGTGGCCCATATTTGTAATCTTACCTACTCAAGAGGCTGAGGCAGGACCTATCTCAAAATAACATAAGATTTTAAAGGGTTAGTAGGTATAGGTCAGCATTCCCTGGGTTCAATCCCCAGTATTGCAAAAAAAAAAAAGTTTAAAAAAGGCACCATTATCTTTACTAGATTTGCCACCAGAACAAGTATTGAGAAAACCACCACTAAACCAACGCCAAAATGGAAATGAAAAATAGTCATGTGAACTTTTGTTAGTGGGAGGTGGTAGCACATGCCTGTAGTCCTGGGCCTGGAGAGACTGCGGCAGGAGGATAACTGTGAGTTGGAGGCTGCCGTGAACTACATAATAAGTTTAAGGCCAACCTGAACTACATAGTGGGACCCAGTTTTAAAAAAAAAAAAGTCATCATACACATAAATTTGACCAAGTCTATTCCTACTGGCCGTGTCATTTACAAATGTGGTGGGACTAACCAAAGAACTACTGAGATCCAGGCAATGGTGGTGCACATTTGTAATTCCAGTATTCCAGAGACTGAGGCAGAAGGAATGCTATGAGTTTGAGGCCAACCTAGAGACCCAGTCCTAGCCCAGGCCCGGCGTGTGGGAGAGCTTCTGGCTATCCTGCACTGGCAAGACGTGCAGGTCCAAGCCCAGGTGCAGCGTGGGTAAGACCCTCTTCCACCCTCTTGGGACATCCCCCACCACTCCACAGAACCCCCACCCCGCCCACCCAGTGAGAATTTCTGCCGCATTCTGGGGACCCCAAATCCAGTCCCCTAGCCCAGGCCCAGTGAGTGTGTGGGAGAGCTTCCTCTCTCTTCTACTCCACCTTGTCCCCTCCAGACTCAGCTCAGGCGTGGCATACAGGCCTGAGGTGAAACCCTACAGCTGCAGTCCCTGCAGAGAGAGTAGGGGACAGAACCATCCAGCTACTCCAGGAGCAGAACATCTTGCCAGAGGGGCACAACAGGTTCATTCCCAAGGGCAACAGCAGGAAGGAGCTGAGCACAGCAGCCAGACCCAAGCCAGGCACAGCTGGATAAATCCAAACTCTGTAGATCTGCACCTGAACTTCAGTAGGTGCTAAGGCTATAACTGCACCAAAGCTCAACAACAAAGGTCAGAAGACAGTGCTACACAAAATGACAACAAGAAGGAGCAAAATGCAATCTCAGACCCCCAAGCCCACCCATAACAAGTGCAAAGGACACTAACACAGAACAAACTGGGAATCACACAGCTGAAATCAATGAATCAATGGCTCCTGAGATAAAGAAACAGCTGCAGAAAGGTATAGAGGAACTCAGATTGGAAATGAAAAAAGAAATCCCTGAATTAATAACATCTGCAGTAAAGAATCAAATGCAGAAACATATGAGGCCAACCTAGGCTACCTAGTGAGTTCAAGGCCATCCCAGGCTATATAACAAAACCTTATCTCAGAAAACAAAACAACAAAAACAAAAGAACCATTGAAAATTTTAAGAGGCTGCTGAGATAAGAAAAATCTTTAATAAATCTAGGTTGCTAGGCACAGTGGTGCACACCTACCATTCAGCTAGTGGGGGCACTGAGGCAAGAGGATTGGGACTTCAAGATCAGCCTAGGCAACTGAGCAAGACCCTATCTCAAAATAATAAAAAATGGACAGAGCCATAGCTCAGCTAGCCTGAGTTCAATACCTAGCATACCCCCCCAAAAAAAGCTTGGACTAACTGAAAATAGAATATAAGAGTAGTATAACCACTGACATTACCTGAGGAAATTAGAGACCAGCTATATTATGTAACTGTCACTGATGTCGTACAACACAGAGACTTTATCAGAAATATGGTTATAGGCACATCTCAGGGTGATTGTGCTGTCCTGATAGTTGCTTCTAGTGTTGTTAATTTGAAACTGCTATCTCCAAGAACTAAAAAAAAAAAAAAAAATCTGGGCATGGTGACAAATGCAGATCACTGTGAGTTGAATCAAGCCAGTCCGTACTACAAGGCAAAACCCTGTCTCAATAAACCTAAGAGAGGAGATGTAGCTGAGCACTCCTTGTACTGCACCACACACAGACTCACAGGAGGAAGAACAACAGAAAACAGTTAAAAGATACAAAGAAAGTCATAAAAAATACAATACATGGCAGCATAGAAAACAGCACACTGGGAATCATTTACCAGATTCATATCACACCTTATCTCTGCAAAAGAAAAGATCCAAAAGATGTAGAGAGGAACAAACATTAGCCGAGTTCAGACTGGGAGTGCAGCTCAGTGGCAGAATGCTTGCCTGGATGAGTGAGATCCTGAGTTCAATCCCCAACAATGAGGGGAAAAAACCCACAAACACAAAACAAAAATTAGTTTTGAAGCCAGGCTGGTTTTAAAACTTAATAATCCTGGCTCTCAGGTAAATAACTAGAATTACATAATAGTCACATAACCAAGTCCATTTACCATGTCCCATTTTGCCCTAAGTCTTGAACACTGTGAGGAAGGCAAGTGCTAGGTAGAATTTAGAAATCTTTGGAATTTTAGCTCAGGGGGACAATTTAAAAGACTTAC